AACCAAATATAAAACTTTTGTTATATTGTGTTGTAACTATAATCACCATACATGTAATCCACAAAATGCTATATGACATCTCAATATCTTTCTATCATGTTTTAAACGAAGTCTGTTAGAAATATTGAGAACCAAATATAAAACTTTTGTTATATCGTGTTGTAACTATAATCACCATACATGTAATCCACAAAATGCTATATGACATCTCAATATCTTCCTATCGTGTTTTAAACTTTGCCTGTCCTTTAAAATCTCCCAAGTGCTAGAAATATTGAGAACCAAATATATACCCTGTTATATCGTGTTGTAATTATAATCACCATACAAGTAATCCACAAAATGCTATATGACATCTCAATATCTTCCTATCGTATTTTAAACTTAGCCTGTCCTTTAAAATCTCCCAAGTGCTAGAAATATTGAGAACCCATTGTCCGGAGCCCATCAGTCGATGCGTGTTGCTAATCCGTGTCAACTACGGTCCCCGGTCGTCTCCTCAAGAATCGTTGCCTCTGCTGTGTCTTTAATGCGCTTTGGCTGGAGGGATCTGAAGTTATAGAGAGGTTTCACAGGGAGGGAGGGAGTAATGAAATGATAACAAAAGGACCGATGTAAGGACAATAGGACAAGTGTCCTGCTTGGTTTGGGGAAGGAGTCGAGAAGGCAGGAGACAATGGCTGATCATGACTGGGTTTTATAAGCTCATTAGACGCATTGCTTGGTACGGGGGGGTTTGTGTTGCACGATATCTTAACTGAAGGGGGATTTGTTAGTGTGATTGGTGTTAGGGTATTACATCCTCCCTGTTCACAAGTTTTCATACAAAACATTTTCGTGAATTCAATTTTTTCCGTAATTCGGAATATTTGTGGTGAACGCGGAAATTGGGTGAAGGTTGAACTTCGTCAAACGAGATGTTTAAAATAAACAATTTTTCATATTTTGTTAGAATGCTAATAATCATAAGCAATTTTTTGAGAAAAAAATCTCAATTCTTCCAATTTGAAACGCTGATATATAGACCTATGTCTTTTTAAATTATATGGTTTCAACTCTCTCTCTCCTTCGTACATAATCATTGATATCTCAAGCTTTTATTAATTAGCGATACAGACTGTAAAACGGTCAAGAATCGAGAATTTATTTCCCTCGTGTTACCAGCTGCCAGAAACCTGGATTACCACTAGACCATGCAGTCCCAACTATAGTTTGAAACCATTTTTAATGGAGAATTTTTAAATTTGATCGTATAATTTCTTGTAATATTTATTATTTTTATTGTTAATACAGTTAATTTAAAAAGCATCCCTCTCTGGGTTTTTTTTTCGCCATAAAAAATTTTTTTTTTTTAAAAACACCTATGTTTTGCCGTTGTTTTATTTCACATGTAGAAATGTAATGACTTTGTTGTTGTCTTTTCTTGATAATAATTTAACGTTGTACGTTGTCTACCATTACACGCTTGAGATCATACGCGAAGTTTGCAGAGAGCTGACATTATGGGACGATCTTAGGGGTAGGGCCTTACAGTCCTGATGCCAAAATTTGACCATTAACACACACACACACACAGACACACAGACACACACACACACATATATATATATATATATATATATATATATATATATATATATATATATATATATATATATATATATTTAAGCCTTGGTTTTAAACCTTGACACACAGTAGGGGTTATCAACCTTCTTAACCGTTATTTGTAGAATTATGAGCCTTCTTAACGTATAGTTTTAAATTTTAATCAACCGAGAATTAGGAGCCATCTCAACATTGGTTTTAAATTCTAACCAACATCAAGAATTATGAGCCTTCTTCGAACAGATCATGAGCCGAAGATTGTGTGTCGAATGATTCATCAATTAGACAGCTGGCTGGATCGAGTGTATCAACATCAGATCAGAAACTTTTTAACTCGATGATTACTAAAAGCGATTTTAAAATATTGTGAATTAATAAACGTAATTTGATTAACTCCTGTTTTTCATTTCTTATTTTAGACTGTTGTTTTATGATGATCAGTTTCTCATACACCAGTCTGTCATGTGGTGGTTAAAAGCAGGATGTTTTTTTTATATAGTTAAAACGTTGTAATAAAGTGTAGATAGCTTAAAGTTTCAAATTGGACATGTAAAACAGTGTTTATTTGTTACCATAGTGATAACACGAATGTGTCGTTGATTCGGTAAGCTCAAAACTAGCACATACACGAGTTATGATATGTACGGCTATATCACATAAAAAAATGTAGTCGATATTTAATTTTTAAATATCACCATATTAGCACTTTACCTAAAGTTCCATTATACACTTACGCTTATGTCTTAGTGTTGCGTATAGTATTAAAATGTTGTTGAAATTGTCTTTTATTTTACAAAAAGTAAATTGATAATATACCTGGTTATAGATAGATAGTAACATCATCTTTGTTTAGGAAATACTTGCGAAACCTTTTCCATGATATACCAGTTACTGTTAGGTACTGAAATGTTGCATTGTTTTATCGATAAATAGTTCAAAATCTATACCGATGAACAAGTTTGATATTTTTACTATTTAAGCTGATGTATACTTTCGATAGTTCACTCTTTTCTCCACTAAATATTTCAACAATGATATTACAGATATTGGCATTGTGGTTTCGAAATATTTCAATTATTAATACCATTCTACCTATAAATTAATGGCTTTTATAAATCTCCAAATGGCTTCCATTCTACTGGTTAATATTTTAGCGATTACTAATTAGTACTGATTAGTTTTATTAACACTAGGTGGTTAGGTATTCATTAAGACCAAAAAAAAAATACAAAGGCTTTTCCATCTTTTCTGTAGAAAGTTTATTTATTAAATCACAATTATATTTAAAAATGAACATGAAAATGTACATACAAATTAAATAACAATAATATTGTGTGAGGGGAGGGGGGGTGAGCGAGAAAATTATATAAAGAGCCCACAACCCTGGCAGTACAAGGGGAAAATAATCGGAGCTAAATTAAACACGTTAAATTATTATCGATCATACCGTGATTTTAAAAAAAATCAACAACATAACACACTATGGTGTTAGCCATAAGATACTAATCCCATGCATTGAAATCAAGCTATTTGTATTTTTATAGGATAACGCCCCCCCCCCCACACCCCACTAATCCAAATAAAACACTAATGTTTACTATATGGCCCACTTAACATTGATCACATACCGGTTTAATTATGGAAAATTAGATAATATGCTAATATAACGTGGTATTTCAGTTGGAAAAATATATACTTTACAATTATATTTGTTCCTGTGTGTTTATAATATTTACGTAGCAATACTTATAGGTTAGTCGTGGTCTACCAAAAAAAAAACGGTTAAAATTATAATGTAATTAAGTTATCGTTGTTAAACTAATTAATTAATCACATACTAATTAGCTAACAAATATGTTTTTTATAATGTTGATCATATGTTGCTGTTGCTGTGAGATTAATTCTTACTGCTATGTGGGTTAGTAGGAGCAGAAGATGTATTTAGAAAATGTGTTGTTGAACCTTTAACACTTACTAGCAAGTTTTCCCTGATAAATATTTAATCGCAGAAATATGTTTCATAAAACCTCAATAAAAGGGCCCAATAATTTAGCAATAGGTAACCATGTCGAATATAAATAAAAACATAAATGAGCACTTACAATTATTACAAAAAGAAAACTCCAGAAATAAATGGTATTCTTTGTTTAGTCAAATGCGTGTTGTCAAAAATTATATATTCATTAACTACATTAATTAATTTTTTCCCATGTATTTTTAGTGAGCATATGTTGGTAAAAAGCTAACTATAGGAGGAAGTTAAAGTTGGTGGTATAGCTTCTTCATCCTATCCCCATATAGTACATTAAATTACGATGTATAGTAAACAAAAATTAAAATTGATAGTGTTTTTTTCTTCTTCTTCAATGAAACATTTCAGTCAAGCAAGACATAGTCTGCTGATTTATCGTATCTTTGGTAGGTGAAAATTACAATGTCATTGCATTTCGTTTCATAAGTTCGTCATTTGGACACACGTTTTTGTAGCCTCAGCTCGGTAACTAGACCACACCTTAAACGTTATTTACTCACAATCCAAGTTCTAACGTCGTTTAATAGGAATTCATCCCATGAAATTATACGTTTGTCATTCAACCATCGACACCATGACGTCATTTTGAAGGCATTCACTGTGTGAAGTACTCTTATGTACATCTTTATACGTCTAAAAATAACTCCGAAATGTATCTTTAATGTGTTGTTAAATTGTTGGATGTTTTGTTGGATTACAACCTGGGCTAATTTGTCCAACATTTTAGCATTTGGATACACAGGTATCAGTAGAAAGATACCATCGATGCCATTTTGTTTTTTCACTTCACACGCAAATATTTTGGCCTTTTTAAATTCGATCCAGCTTCGTGGCCGGATGAAGGTCTTCGACCGATGATAATGTCACATACCTAGACTGATGATAATGCCACATGTCATATGCCAGATGTCCGGATGAACGGTCACTCGGAGGGAAATCTGACACCGGTACGGATTTTCACCGGCGTCTATGAAGTGCTGTAATGACATCTGCAGATAACGTTGTCATTTGCAGCAGGTAATGACATCTGCAGCTTGTATTGCCATCTGCAACTGACACATGCATTTTTAGATGACACTATCATTCGCAGCTGGTTTTGACATTTGAAGCGAATGTTGGCAAGTGCTGCTGGGACTGACATGTACCGTCGAGGTTGACATTTGCGTTTGACATTGACATTTATAGCTGAGACTGACATCACATGTCTTGAGCCCCGAGAATCACCAAATGGACACGGGGGCGGCGATAAAGTCTCTCCTACCCCGTGGGTTAGGCCTGCGTGTACCTCGGGGGTGCTACCATCACATCTACAGCGTACCCCCGGGGGGTGCCATATCCAGAGCGTCGTGTCAAACTGACATATTTAACAGTCCTCTGTCACTGACAACTCCTCGTCGTCGGTGCACGGCTCGTCGTCGTCGTCGTGGTCGACGTATGACGTCAGGTCACTTCCGTCGCCGCTCTTGCCGTGGTCGCCATCTTGACCCTCCGTCTGCGAACCGGAAGAGCCGGTATCTTCTTCCGCTTTCATTCTTTTGTGCTTCGTCCTGCGGTTTTGAAACCACACTTTGACCTAGAATATATAAATAGAAACGTTAATTTTATTACCAAAGCTATAAACCCTTTTTTTAAACTACTAAAGACTTAAGGAAATCTGGCGTACACTTAAATGCACACAAAAATTAATATGAAAAATAAAAACATATTTAATAAATTACTAGGACTAAGCGATGATCTTTGTTTGACTGCTAGCCCGAAGGTCTCGAGTTCGGATCTAGGTTCTGACTCGTGACGTTCCTGATTCTACTCAGCTCTGATGGGTACTTGACTCACGTTTAAAAAAAGAAGGCTGAGCATTATCCCTTCATATACTAAGGCCATTGAAACAGATACACTCTACTTCATCTGCACCATGTGTCTTGAGCCCGTAACGGATAAGAAAATGAAGCTAAGCTCTTTAGGGATAAGCTTACTGTTTAATTGACATATAACGTCAATCTAATTAAGTCAACCCACCAATATATAAAATTAAAAGCGTTTAGATATTAATTTAAAATAAAAATAAAATATAAAGTTTAATTTGCTTAACAATTTGGAATGTTGGTCAAGTTGTATTATACAAGCTACGCTTTAAATGTTTAAAACGAAACAAAATACGAAGACATAATTGAACATACTTAAACAGTTTAAAAGTGCAAAAAATTAAATCGCGTTTATTACAGTCATTAAAATTGTTACGTCAGTTTGATACAGGAAAAATAAATAAATAAAAAGTCCACATTTATTTTTATTGTTCACAACGGCAGGTAAAATATAATTGTAATATTTGAAATGAATAGCAACAGTTTTCGCGACTAAATATCTTTTTGCTTAACTGTATGCATATACGTTATTTATTACTGCCGCCGTTTTGGCTACATGTTCCTGGGTTCTATCCCCTGACCACTAGTCTGGACACACACCTGAGTCTAGCCGTCCGACGCCAACGACGGCGTCGGTCCGTTTATAACGACAGAACATAAACGATTAGACAAGATTTATGGCGGAGGGGACCCTGTTTTTGTGGACACGGATACCGAACGCCATTCCACTTGGGGGATAATTGGCAGGATCATAACAAAGTAATGGAAGACAATTATTTTCCGATCTGAGACCAACACAAATCGGACATTTTACACTACCGGATAAACAGTAATTTTTTTTTATTACCCCATTCCCCCACCCCCTCCCACTTCCAAGTTTTGCGTCCACTATGGACGACCGGGCTTGATTCAAGAGGTCAAAACTCGCGCGCTTGCACGCGCCACAAATCAGAAACGGGTACCCGCGTGATGGGGATCCTAATAAGGAGCGTCACGTGATCAGTGTGTCCATTTTTTTTTTGCAACCGGGATGGGATTGAAACATAAGATGGGATTAGGATATCTGAGTAGTTTTTGTGTTGGAGGGGGAAAGAGGGGGGGGGGGGGGGTGGCGTTAATCGAACAATTGGACCGGGATAATTATTCATATAATTTAATGGTTCCTATCAAATAAACGGTTAATTTATATAAAGCTACGGGGGAGTGATTTCTTGATAAAAAATGTTCAACTCGGTAATTTACTGTTGCTATTAATGTGTAGACGACAATACAATATTAAAACAAAAATTAAGTCTACGTATAATCATAGCATAATTATTCTTCAACGCGCATGACCGCCGCTTATGTTAATCAAAAAGTCAAAATGTTTCTTTTACGTCTCCCATATATTTCCTTAAAACTAAATTATGATTTTTATTTTAATTAACTTTCCTACTAATTTCATTTTATGAGTAAATATAGATATTATACAATAAAAGAATCCTTCACTGGAGTTGCTAATTACATGAATATAAAGGTCGTGTATTTGTATAGCCTGTTACACAGAATACGTTTCTTTGTTTTATAGCCGCTTCTTACTATAAAATAAATTTTATTAATAAAGCGGACGTTAACCAAAACCTTTGCGATATGTTACCATTCTATAGAGGAAAGACTTAATAAAGACCAAAATTAATAATAAAAAAAAATCACGGGTCAGCTAGATGAAAAAATGAATAGCGATTTGAAAAAAAATATTCTTCAACGCACAAAAATCAATCCATCATTATTTGCCCAAAACCCGCGCCCCTCCCTCCCCCGTCCCCTTGGCCGACAATGGCACCAAATGATAGACAATTCCCGTAATGAATCCTTCGCTTCCTGGGCGCGGCAACACAGCCTCGTTTTGATCTCCGTACCCTGTAATTTTCGAACGTTTGTCTCAATCTTCGACCTCATTCGTCACTGCCCGATTTCGTACACCCTATCCCTTCTTTCCTCCCTCGTCCACCCCCCTCTCCCTCCCCCTCCCGAACACGCAAAGGTTCTGAGCCTTAGAGAACATGACGTCATGATTGCGGCGATTGTTTCCTCCCAGCGCGTGTCGTGCGTCGGGGCATCAAAACCGGAAGCGATTCCCTGATTTGATGAAGGGAGTTATCATTGTGGCCTTCTGACGCTGCCCTTTCTCCCAACACAACGGCTACACGTTTTTCCCCTGGGGGTGGGGGAGGTGGTGGGGGGGGGGAGAAGAAGTGAGGGTGACGGATTATTGTAAGAAAGATATCACCAGAGTTGTCGACGTATTTCAAGACTACTACAACTACAGCCTTAATCCCCTTAGGGGACAGTGGCGGACTCTGCAAGGTTGCCCGGGGGCAGGAGCTTAAAATTAACGCGGGGGGAGAAATAGAACGGGACGCCGTTGACTCGCGGGGTAAGTGAGTTCCTTGAAGTGAGCGCTGAATTGATGGAGCGCGCGAGAGTGTGAAACAAGAGCGGTATCATCTAGAAGCACCGCGCGTAATTGGGTACTCACCGAGGTATTGACTCAACGCTGTTGGTCTTCAAATAAAAATAATTCGCCCGGGGGGTGAGCGAATCCCCCTCGCTCTTACAGAGGGTGAGTTGTTAGCCGGGTCGCACGCTGGACTACGGTCAGGGGGGGGGGGGGGTGGAGGAGGGGGTGAAACGTTCATGGCATGGCTCTCAATGACGTGTTAATCACGAGAAAATGAGCCGAGTGTTGGACGTTTGGACAAAGTCGGGCCGTAATGGCCTCGTTTGTTATCGTTTAGAAGGGTGGCGTTCATAGACACTGACTTCACGAACGGGGTTAAACAAAGGCGAGGAAGATATTTATATATGTGTATCTATATATTATATGTCGCTATTATTTGGTAACCGGACAGATGCGAAACGGAAAACTGCGAAACGAAAAACTGCAAAACGGAAATTTGCACACAAAAATAGTGCGCAATAGCATTTTTTGTTTTCTAAAATTGAGCATTTATAGACATTATCAAAAAAGTGATTACATGTACATTGTAAAAAATAAAACATATTTCCTCGAAATATAACAAAACTAAAGTGTATTAGTTTAATTAGTTTGTATTTGCTTATTTTTCTGTGTGCGCATTTTTCCGATTGCGCATTTTTCTGGGAACCCTTATATTTACATAAAGCCTTTGGGACTTAATAGTAGATTAAAAAAAACGATAGATGAATTTAACTTTGGAGATTTAGTTTCCCCTCTGATCACATTAATGGCGTGGGCGGCTGCTGTGGTTCAACTGTTCAATCATTATACCAATTTAGATGCTGCTGTGTGCCACTTCTCAAAGGGGAATAAAGCTGCCATTTCGGGAGGGGTGACGGACGGTCAAGCAAAGACCAGTAACCACCCTAGTCTGCCCTCCCCCCCCCCCCCCCACGGAGCAGATAACAAATGGGGGAGTCACGTGGTTTGATGTATGTGAGAAGGCGCGGCGCTGATGTGTCTAATCAATGGCCGGTGTCCGATTGTCCAAGCGGAACTGCTGTATTCCCAGCGGGCTTGTTATAGGCATTAACCTGCGTCGTAGGGGCGGGTCAACTACGGTTGGATGAGAGGGCAGGGGGTTGATTTGGGGGGGGGGGGGGGGAAGGGGGGGGGTGCGAAGCGGAAGTTGTGAGGTAGAGAGGGGGTGGAGGCGAATCGTTGCAATAGTTAAACAATAGTCATGAAAAATTATTAATTAGGCCTAAACTCTTACGGTAATTATTAATCAAGTGTGTGATTTTTATTCCAAAAAATAAACAACGTAATTTTTTGCCATAATTTGCCGCATGCAAATCTGCATGGAAAATGAATCGACAACACACGGAGTTGGTCATAGGAGTTTAACAATCCTAGTTAATGGATAAATTAAATACCATATACATACAGATATATATATAATATATATATATATATATATATATATATATATATATATATATATATATATATATATATATATATGATCCCATGCATGAAGGTATTTTAGATAATTAATGAGAGCTGTGCTGATTACAACTAGCCTAAATGCGGCTAACATCCGCTGACCTTTACCACAGACCCGACCAAGAAGTGAGAAATGTGCCAGAGTTAACTTGCCGGATAGGATGAAATGTTACCAGAAAAAATATGTCTTCGGCCGTAGACAGGACGTCTCTAGCGCAGCCTCTGGGTGGGTGTGTTAACCGTTCTGTGGTCGGGCCTGTTGGCCTTTAAGGATTACATATCAGGGTAGGGGCGGGTGGTAATTTGTTCTGATGGGGCTAATAGGGTGGTGCTGTATCACTTACTGAACGGAAACTGGGGAGGTGGTGGCGTCACAACTATAGGTATCGCTATGTTAGAAGTGTGTTATATTGTTTTATATTGTTACAATAAAGTATATACATAAACGTATGGGAAGGCGTAGTTGGGTGGTTGAATGTACGACTACTAACTCGATAGTCTCGAGTGCAGATACAAGGCTTGATAAAGTAAAGGCGGCTATGATAGTGCTGATCACATTATCCCTTCATATGCCGAGGTCACATAAATAGGTGAACTCTACTTCATCTTACCTCCAGGTTCAAAAGGGGCAGCCTTATAACAATTTACAAATATTTTAGATTCATAACAATACTTATGTTCCCCATGTGTCTTGGGCACAAAGTGGAAAAGTTGAGATTAATAAACTGTATTAAACTTAAAACATTTTTAATTGCATCATGCCGATTACGATTTTGAACCGTTCATAAATCCTTGCAGCATCAAAGCGACCCGATACGCGTTATACAAAAGATGTTTGATCCGTGAATTCCCCCACCGTCTAGTTTTCAGTTAACCATTCCCCTCTCTCAAAGAGCACTGGGTCCCACCAGAGCTTAATATCTCGCGATATCTCGTCGGCGGAACGGGAAGGAACGCGCCAACAGATCGTGGTACACGCTGGCAACTTGGGAGTCTGGTGGGTGATAAGGCTGGGAGTTACCGTCCTTTGAAGACCCCTGGGTCTCTGTCTGCGGGGTCTAATAGACCCACACGGGTTGATCATTAGCAGACGAAATGTTCGGCCTGGTATTAATCAGAAGATATTTGCAGGGCTAAACGGGAGATTGTACCTGCATCTGGGAGTTAAGTGTAAATAGGTTGCTTCGGGATTCGAACATTAACCGATATCTTTTAACAGTAATAGCAACGTAGGTAGAATCTTACTGTAATATTGCATTGCATATGGAACTAGTATGCCTGCCTATTATTATTCACTATGCAGTGATTTTAATTGCTTTTAATGTGTCAAACTACAAAAATATAGTTGAATTACTTAAAGATTCAAATATATAAGCCATATTTCTTCAACATTTGAAAGCGGAATAATTTTATAAAATTAGTATTAATTGTTTCGGACTTTAAATTTACTTTAGCAAACTAGTTCCTAAGAAGATAAATCGTCATTAATTATTTGAAAACTTGTTTTTTTAAATAGGAATTAATTACTCTATTTACTAAATTTAGTCTATTTGAAGAAAAAATTAGAATATAATTTTGACAGTTTCTAATTTAAAAACAAAAAATCAATCAATTAAAATTCCTACAACACTTAACATTTTCTAAATAGCTCGTTTACCCACGCTTTAAACACGCAGCAACCTGATACTAATTTAAACTAATGTTCACATGTTAACGAACACAGTTGCTAGCGGATACCAACACGCCTCTAATTAATGGATTAAGCTCTATTACCCTATGCAGGTAATAAACAACAGACTAAATTTTTAAAAAAATTAACTCCTGTCCGAACAACAAAACAATGGCTGGCAACAGAAGGAAAAAAAATGTGTTCATGTTATAGCCTAATCAATATTTAGAATTAATTAAAAACTTGAGGGTAATTTTAAATTAACGTGTCTTTGGAGCAAAATCCAGACTACTAATTATAATTGATAATTTTCGTCAGTTCTATGGTTAAACTTTTAAGTTAATATTAATTTCAAAAATAGGTTTAAAATTACTTTATAAAAATGTTATTGGAGTTGATGTGTTGATTCTCCGAATGGTCAATTAACCGATTTTTTTCTCTTTTTTTTTTTAAACCAGATTAATTCATCACGAGTGACCGTCCATCAAACTACTTCCTCGTTATCTCCCCTATTGTCTCTCTACTCCCGAAACAAATAACAAGTGACATTTGACCACTGGTCACTTAAGTACTTCATCGTCTTGCCGGATAATTGAGCCGGCCATGCGCTTATCAGCCGGTTAACGAGCCGATGAAGAAAAAAAAAACCGTCGAGTCGGAGATTCCTGGACCACCGTCGTAATTGGCCTCGCTTTCGAAGACACGAGAAATTAAAATGGCGAGGGATTTATGTTGATTGAGAGGAATAAACCGAAGATGTCTCTTGATAATCAAACGAGGTAGTGTGAGTGTATTTGAGAACGTCGAAAGAGGTTTAAACAATGGTTCCGTAGTCTAATGATTAAGTTGATTAAGTTAAATTGTATTATTTTTAAATTAAATCGGTATTTTATACGTGGAAAAATATTTGATTACAATTATTTTTCCTAGTTTTCTAAACAGAAATAAAGTTTTGTAAATGTTGAGGTATTTTTTAAAACTAATAATTAAGTTTAAATTTCATTTAGGCTTAGAAATACTGAAGGTGTCGGTAATTATGGGCCCCCCTTATAGGTAAATTACCATTAAATTAATTTTGCCCTAATTATAAACATCGAACTAGCCCTAGTCTAGATCTTGAACCAAACTCAGTTTATTAGGAATTTTGTAATAATTATTTCACGCTTTGGAAACAGATTTATTTCTTAAGCAATAAAATATTACGGACAAGCTGTTTTACGTTTTTGTTGATGAAACTTTAATTATAAGAATTTGTTCCGAGATTATCACTACCACTTAATCTAGAAAGTAGATGCGATGGTTTACAAAACGGTCAAGGTCTTATTTGTGTCTTAGTTACATAGACAAAGTCTTACTTATGTCTAAATTACACGGTAGATGACCGTAGGAGTCTTAGCTGTGTCTAAGTTACAATGTTAGTGTCTTATTTGTTTCGGTCAATGTCTTATATGTGTCTCATTTACACGGCAAAAGTCTTACATGTGTTAAAATTACACGGTTGAAGTTCTATTTGTGTCAGTCTCTTGTTTGTGTCTCAGTTACATGGTCGGAGTCTTATTTGTGTCAGTCAAAGTCTTATTTGTGTCAGTCAAAGTCTTATTTGTGTCAGTCAAAGTCTTATTTGTGTCAGTCAAAGTCTTATTTGTGTCAGTCAAAGTCTTATTTGTGTCAAAGTCTTATTTGTGTCAGTCAAAGTCTTATTTGTGTCTTTGTTACACAGTCATATTCAAGTCATATTTGTGTCAGTTTCTTGTTTGTGTATCAGTAACATGGTCGGATATTATTTGTGTCAATGTTTTATTTATGTCATTGTTACATGCCCTACTGTTCATCTCAGCTATACGGTCAAAGTGTTATTTGTGTCTGTCAGTCTCTTGTTTGTGTCTCATTTACTGGGTCGGAGCCTTATTTGTGTCCCACACTAGTTACACGGTCAAAGTCTTACATGTGTTTAAGTTACACGGTTGAAATCTTATTTGCGTCCGTCAGTCTCTTGTTTGTGTCATATTAATACGGTCGGAGTCTTATTTGTCTGAAAGTCTTATTTGTGTCAAAGTCCTTTTTGTGTCTTTGTTACACAGCCAAAGTCATATTTGTATCAGTCAAGGTCTCATGTGTGTCTCAGTTACAACTAAAACACCTCACCTGTGTCTCCGACAGCTGTAACTTGCTGGCCAGATTCTTCCTCTCCTGCCCCACGACGTAGTGATTTTTCTCGAAGGCTTGTTCCAACTGGAGCAGCTGGGAGGGGGAGAAAGCGGTGCGGTTCCTCTTTGGCTTCCGGTACGGGTGGAAGAGTAGACCGGGTGGGGGGCCCACTGTGGAGGATGGAGGTTAAAGTTAGTTGGAGTCTGTTAGTGATAAGCAGTGGCTGTTGGTTTGTTAATTATAAGAATCACAGACACAGTGTATAATTTCATATCATCATTGCGCATGAGTACACTCACACTTACACACGCATATATATATATATATATATATATATATATATATATATATATATATATATATATATATATATATATATATATATATATATATATATATATATATATATATATATATATATATATATATATATATATATATATATATATATATATATATATATATTATATATATATACACATACACATACATACATACATACACATACATACATACACACATACATACATACATACATACATACATACATACATACATACATACATACATACATACATACATACATACATACATACATACATACATACATACATACATACATACATACATACATACATACATACATACATACATACATACATACATACATACATACATACATACATACATACATACATACATACATACATACATATGTGTGTGTGTGTAACTCACAATTAAACATTTACATGTAAAACGATTTTGAATTATTGATTGAAGTCTAAAAGCTCACATTGGTGCATTTTAGGCGTAAAATACAGTTTGAAAATTTACAAAAGTCCAAACTAAGCATTTCAATTTCAAATTTCAAATATATACTCGGCAATAAATGCTTTAAGCTAAGTAGCCTGAAATCAAATTAAAGATATTTTAAAATCTCGATTTCTTCAATTAACCTTCAACGTTAAAAACGAACTAGCCTAGGGTTCTGTACCTAAGATGCTAACTTACATAAAAAAATAAATAAACGCGGCTTCTTTTGTCAATTATTTAACCCGTGGGTTACATTTAGTTTTGTCTGATTTAATTTCCGTGGCAGGCAATAGACATAAACTCACAGCCAATCAATGGCGTTCAATCGTTACATCCGCAAGAATGTAGCCAATCGCCGGAGTTCAATGGCTGTTCTCATACCGATATAGCCAATTGTCGTGACGCGGTTATTGACGGTGAACACAGTTCATGTCAGAGGGCTGGTACCTATGTACATCAGTAGACAAAACTTTAAATAATTAGCAGGTTGTTAAAAAAATTGATGGGGAGGGGTTAGATGGGTGATGGGGGGTAGTTCTTGATTGGAATTGATTTTTTGCATTATTTTGATTATTGTAAGTATGTCGTGTACTTCAAATTCTGGATTTAATTTTTTTATTAGATTAAATCAATGAAGAGAAATAATAATTTTAAATCTTGATTAACTGAAAGGTTAGGGGAATTGTGTTTATTTTCAGTGCATTTTTTTCAATTACCAGTAACCCCATTCCCTTAAGCCACTGAAACGGAAATATAGCAAATAATATTTGGAGTTACCTAAACGTTAATTAATATTCGATACGGGTTAGGAGTAGGGGGGGGGGGGTGTGATTTAGACACGCCCTACTCCGAAAATGCCATTGTGATAAATTCTTTTTTTTTTAATTGGGGGAGGCAGGAGTCAATGATTGGAGATTGATGGTCAGATGGTAGGGCAACCGACTGCTAACCCGAAAGTCTCAAGTTCGAATCCCGGGTTCGACTCTGTAGGATGCTCATTTGTACACCATATTCTGATGGGTACCTGACTCACGTTAGAGAAACTTAGGTGGCTGGGCCTATTGCTGACCACACTATCCCCTGTTGAAAAAAGATGAACTCTACTTCATCTGTGTTTTTGTACGAACAGAAAAAGATGATGATGAGCAGTAAATTATCATTACTAAAGTCAACAAAAACCCATTCCATTATCCAAATTTAAACTTTGTCCAAACAAAACACGATAAACTTAGCACCCCTACTTTTAGAACAGTCCATTTTTCAACACCTGCAGAATTAATAATTTCATTTGGTAGGATGGGGTTTGGGGGGAGGGGGGGTCTTATCTTTTCCTTCTACTTACAAGTTTTTTAAATCGAATTTTTGATGTGCGACATCTTCCTCTAGAAATATACCAGTAATATTCTCACGATGGGGGTCATTGGACCCCTGTTTAATAACCCCTTATCTTTATTGAAAAATTGGACGAAAATTCGACCCGCTACTTGCCATAAGCAGTATTAAAAAAAAAAAAAAATCAAGTGACATGGATTACCGGCAGTGATTACAGCAAAGACGAAGGACCACTTTGTAGGACCAATTTTAGCCATCGGGTTTTCCCCCTGTGTCTGCCTCACTTAAGTAATAGCAAGAGATAGAAGAGCTCTCTCCTTCAGCTCTCGTCAAAGCTCGGAGCTGCGTTCTTCTCGGCGCGGCTTTATGTAAATAAAATTCACGTGACATTTTCAACCAATCGTTAACTTTGTCACGCGCAGGCTAGAACGTTTATTTTTAATCGGTTTTTCTTTTTGTTGTTTTTATTTAAATTGAAAATACTTTGAATTTCGAGCACGTTAATTCATAATGATATAAAAATATACACGACAATTTTCTTTTATTTTAAACGTTTTTTTCTTCCTTTTATTTCTTCTGTAATTGTAAAGTCATAACTGTTTTATCAAAGTTTTATATTTTAATCGTGATTATTTTATTCCAATATGACTTGTCTCCCCTTGCTATTAAAAGACATGAGGACGAGATTTAACGTCCCATTACTCTGGAGTGAATGTTATCCTTTCTTCATACGTTAACCATAAAATTTAGCAGTCTTCGAGCTGGGTGTATGGCACTCATTATGTAAATGTTAACGAGTCAGGTCGAGACTTAATTATCTGTACATGTCGTCATTGTGACAGTTCGCGGCATTAAAAAAATTGTAAGTACTTATTCAAGCAGTAAAGGGGGAGAACTTGTCTCAATTTCAACTACAATTATTGTTTATAGAAAAACAAAATCCCGGAATGATAGGAATTAATTACAATCCGCTGTTAACATTTCAGATAAGTTGACCATTATTTCTTATTTCATTCTTACCCTCTCCCTTCGCGTGTTTCATTTAATTTAACAGTTTTGCTTATTTAAGCCAATCAGAGGTAATTAATTACATTTGCATGCTGCCGTCTTCGTCTGTTTTATAATCGGCGTCGGGTTTTAATTCTGCTTTAAAAACGCTAGTGTTTCACAATTACATTTTTCGTGATCTTACGAAGAGCTCGGTATTGTTCTTTTTTTTTTTAAATTACCGAAAGTTTTCTAGAATAACTGGTATTAAATATCGTGCCGGATTTCTAGATTTAAAAAAAAAACGGAAAAAAGAATGAAATATTGTTCAATTTTTGTTTTCATATCAGGAAGTAAGCAAATCTTTGTTAAGCGTAAAACTATTTATAAAGTACCTATCACCCGTTCCGAAAATCCTCCCACCCCTGTCTTAAGGTATGTAGTTACTGTAGTTTAACCAGAGTTTCTTCCAGGCATCTCTTCGGGGGGGGGGGGGGGACGACGACGACGACGAAGCCCCCCACCGAGATAAATTCTATCGTCACCCCCTCCCCCGAACGAAATGAAATTTATATAATTTATATAGAAAATATATACTTTTAACAGTGTCCGCCCCCCCCCCCGGAGAAAAAAGTCTGGAAGAAACACTGAGTTTAACTGAGTGGTTTTAAAGTAATCACTTCAATATTAGAATGACAACTACTTATTTCTTTGTTTAAAAATAATTTAAAAAACTTAAAAAGTATTTATAATCTAGATACAACAAAGAAAGTTAAAACATTAATACACAGAAGTAAAATGTTAAGCATGAAATTTTAACGACAAAACAATTCTCGGGTTTTCCAACATCTCCTTAATCAACTCTCCACCCCACCTACTCCCCCCCCCCCCATTTACCCCCTCCCCTCAAGTAAATGATTACCCCGACCAATCAAATCTCTGATCGCTTCTCTTATCTCATTATGTTATTAACATCAATTTTACCTCGGTAACCAACGTTCCAATTAAAATTGTTGAACGTTAAATGGTATTTGGAGGGAGACAGTACAACGCCTGGGTAATCTTGGCTATTTCTCCACGAAATTAAGCTCTACGGAAACTGGTGGCTTGGGAGATGTTTTATTTAAGCTTCACGGGAAAGGATGAGTTTTAAACTGAATAAATACTCTTTAATGTACAGTTATTAAACTTAAATGTTTTTGTAATATTTGTTTCTTAACTACACTAAATAATTGACTTTTGGAGAAACTTTGGCGAAATGATGTGAAAGAAAATAAAAGTTTATTTCTTTATTCTTTAACAGTTTAAAGTAAATATAACAGGAGAAATTTTTTTTAATATAAAGATTCGTCGTCCATCTTTTAAAGTAATTTGCTAGAGCGTTCTCGCTTAATACCACGTGACATGCCGCCATCTTGAAAGATTGAAGGCGTTTTGCCTGGCTGAAAAGGCAATTTATATCATCAATTTGCCCAGGCTGATCAATAGCATCAGCCCGATTTAAAGTATAGCATCCTCCTAGCGGTATAACGGGTGGGGGAAGGAGTGGGTCGATATTGGATTTGAACTTTGGAAGAAAAATTGGGTGAAATTTGCATCTAATGAAAGGCAGTTTATAGTGGGGCCAGGTTATAATGCTGTTTACAGTTCAGGGTGAATTTTAAAAGTCAATCAAACGAAACGCTAATTTACTGCCGAGATTTTCTTATTTAAAATTGGGAAAATTATTTCGAAAAATCGAAGCAGATAAGTACAGTTAGAAGGGGGAAGGGAATAAGAGGGCGGCGCTTGGGGTTAAAAGCACAATTAATTCACTGGTAAGAAATCTAAAAATATAACCAGTTGATAAAAATAGCATGTTATTTTAGTTTGATTGAAGATTAAATTATTGACATGGTAATACACAAATAAAAGTAAACCATTTTCCACCATTGATTAACGTTTATAATTTAGCAGAACACGATAATTTTAGTTTCTTAGATTTGGTGTTTGATTTGGTAAACCAATTTTGTAAATAAATGGCCTCAATCGATCAAAG